TCAATTGTACAAATCCGCCTTGGTAGTTTTGCCCCGTCGGCCCCCATTGGTAGTCATCGTTTGGCCGTCGTTAGTGGGGTTCGCCGAAGCCACTCCAGCAAGGCAGTCCCGACGCAGCGGCGCCAGGGATTCAAGGCATTTCTTGACGGCGTCCGGATTGCTTTGGGCGTTGCAGGCTTGCGTCTTTCGAAAGAGATCCGACCGGCATGGGGTAGAAATACCTGGGGTGGTGGTAGTAGGGACCGACAAGTGAGGAAGCAGGCAGAATAGGAGGTTTGAGGAGCATGGGTTGTGATTATTTTCGGCCTTTTCCGGAAGAAATGCGATATCAAAGCGGTTAGTGTCTCATTGCTGCAGAGAAATGAAGGCCGTCGCTTCACTATCATAGTGAAGGAAAAGAACAGACATTTGGAGAGAAATGAGCACCATGGAAACCCGGCAAAAATGCACAGAGGGGGACGTCAGAGAACTTGATCGCTCATTCTACGTTTGGTTCGTCCGGACACGCTCCCATCATCTTACCATCGTCGAAAAACATAACGAGCTTGCGGTGGCTCTGCTCGCGCGGCACTTCGTTGGGCTGCACGGAACTCGCCGCGTTTTCTGCTGTGACGACGCCTGCCGCCTCGGCGCTCGTTGCTGGTAGGGGCAGGTTAAGGGGAGTGAGACGAGTGAGGGGCAGAGAGAATGTTAAGCGGAGGAGGCTTGGGGAGAGTGAGATGGGGATGAGTGGGCAGACTGATGGGAGTGAGAGTGAGGGTAGTGTGCTTCGGGCAGGAGGGAGTGAGTGGCGGATAGGGGATTGGCGGACGATGAGGGGATTGAGGGGAGCCGTGAGATAAGACTTCCCAAGGGGAAGGTTCCCCCCTGACTTGTGACTCTTGCAGGGGAAGTTCCCCCCTGCGCGAGACACGAGTCAGGCAGAGGGAAGAGGATACCGCGTGCAACTAAACACGCAAGCGCCAGACGAGCGTTTTTTCAGTCAAGACCCAGAGCCGCTCATGAGCTGCCACAGGCTGCATGTGGATAAAACGAGTGATGTGGAAATCGCGTTGAACTAAGTGTGGTCTGTGGGAGCGCGTGGGCTGGCGGCGAAAGTGAAAAGGGAAAAATGCAACAAGACTCGTGAGGGCGCAATGACAGGGCCTCGGCTTAGGTTTCGCGATGGCATAAGAGTATACGGGCCGTACCTTGGGCGAAAGAGAGCGCCAGAATTGCAGCGAGGAAGATCATGATGCCGACGGAGAGAAGGGCACGAGCCATGGCGTTGTAACGAAATGGGCTGGGAGAGATTGATAACTGAGATAAAAGATATGGATTGAGTCTGATGGTTTAGAGCATGTTAGCGGCAGGATTTATAGTCGGGATGAGTCCATTTTCATGGACCAAGAAAAACGAGAGCGCGACGCCGAGGGCGTCACTTTCTGCCTGCTGCCGTGAAATGCGCGGGAGTATTCGCCAGGAGCGACTCTGGTTGGGCTGCTGGATGTGAATTATGCAATCTCGGTGATAATTCAAGTGCGATAATGCAATTTGCAAGCTGCCCGGTGTTAGAACCTGTGAGCTGGCCCCAGGAAGTCAGGATGTTTTACCCTGATTAGCCTGTTTTTAAGAGTGATGTTTGCAGGTCACCCGGCTAAAAATGACTTTGACAGCCTTACCACCCTGACACTTACAGACATTAACCAAATCCTACCCTTTATTTGCAGGTTAGAGCGTTTTTTCGGCACTGCAAAATCAGATTTTAAGTCATTTTAACCTGCTAGAACTTCCCTGAGAGTCGAGCTGAAATTTGGCGGCGAAGTCACTGAAACGCACTGTCATTTCTGTCCGTGTCAATGAGACACGCTGAAATAGGCTAAGTCACTGAAATGCACTGGGGATTAGGTCAAGTCACTGAGACACTGTGGAAATTTGAACGTCACTGAGAGACGCCGAAATTAGGCTGAGTCACTGAAGCACTCTGGGAACAGACCGTCCATTCCCCCTTAGCGTAAAGCTCGACCCTTCATAGTATTACGCAAGCAAACCCTCCCCACCCTCTCCCCGCTTCGTTCCTCTCCTGCTGCATCCCCAAACTTCCCGTGGCTCTGTGTGGTCTTTTTCTTTCGAAGAAAAACGAGCTTTACAGTGTTACCGGTAACGAAAATTCTACCCAATCCAGAACCCTGCAATTTCTTGAGTATGCTGCGCCGGGCACACTGCAGTGGCAGGGTGGAGGTAGGCCACAACTCGTTATTGGCAGGGTGGCCCAAAACACATCGGGAGGCCTGCCTGTGAGGCGTTGACTCTGCGTTGGACCGCTGAAGATTGTGACAAGGCAGTTTTCGAGCTGCCCGGTGTGAAGAATTGTGACACGTTGAAAAGTCGAGAGGGAGGATCAAGGGCTCAAAATCGATCCCCACAGATGGAAAAGGCCAGCTCAAATTTTCATCTTTCTTCCTCATCGCGTACCCAGGAGCTTCATTGGCTACCGCATATGGCGGTGGAATTGGAACAAACGAGTTGCTACAGATGCCGTAAGGGCGGTTCGGAAGAGTACGTCCGAATACGGTTGAAAACGTTTTAGACTTGATCGAGAGCGGTCAAATGAAAGCAAAAGCTGGTTGGGTAGGGTTCTCTACAAATACGAGCATTGTTGGACCCGCCCTAAGAGATTATTCATTACTCTCAAGAACGAACGGGAAAGTACGTTTGGTGCTTCTTCATATTTGATACGAAAATAGGCACTTTTGATTTACCCCCTCAGTGTGATCTGATTATTCTTCTAACATGATGAAAGTGTGTGTTATTCCTGCAACCTATTTGAACCCCAAACATCAAATAAACGTGCTACCGCAAGGATTACTTCGCGCCCCTGCTTACCGCGTATACAATCGTTCCTGCCAACAGTACCCAACAGTGCACCGTTACCAGGGTCGTCGCTAGCAGAATGTTTTTGTCTGTTTGCCTTATCTTCAGATCGAGTTTTTTGAGTTCATCTGATTTTTTAGAAATTGGTTTTTTGTATTTTCTGATTGATAAGGAGTAGTTTTTGAGTTTATTTGATCAATCGGGTTCTTCTTTTGGTTGCATCTGATACCGAATCCAATTATGTAGGGGTGAATATGGGATTCGAGTTGTGAATGGGCGAATCTGATGCGTCAGGAGGCGATTCTGTTAGTGTCAGGGCGAATCTGTTAGTGTCAGGGGGCGAATCTGTTAGTGTCAGGGGGCGAAATTGTTGTGACGGGCAGGGCTCTCGCTAGGTTTTAGGCCCGTCTGGAAACCCTAACAAAAAAAATCGTTTCGTCTGACGCTTAGACGGGAAAATTTCGCTGGTCCGTTTTTCCAGATGAAAGTTCATGGCATGTCTGAAATTTCATACGGATTTTTTTTCCACATCTGATGTGGCAACTTGCAACTTCATGACGCAGCAGCGCGTTAGCTAAACACTACCAGGCAGAGAGGTGAGGGACTAGGAGGGGTTGGGTTACGAGGGAATTGGCTTGGAGTTGTGGGAGTGGCTTGGTTGAGTGTGCGGGAGTTGGGAGAGAAGAGCTGGGCTGGATGTGGCGCAAGGTAGTTGGAAGAGGTGATGGGGGCTTTGGGCTGGGCTGTTAACAGGGAGGGGACTTCGGGCTGGGCTGGAGAGGCGACGGGGCCTTCGGGCTGGGCTGGTAGACGGGGCTGGGCTGGGCTGGGGTTCTGGACTAGCGGAATTCTGACGACGAATCTGCCGAATCTGACGACCTATAGTCAGAGGCCAGGTTTGTCGGTATCAGACGAAAAGATCCTCGCTATCTGAAATTTCAGATGAAGTATAACGCGTGCTCTAAAAAATCAGACGATATATAACTCTTCGTCTTATGGATCAGACGAAATAAAAAGCATTGTCTTACAAATCAGATGAAATAAGAAATGAAGGTCTGAAAATCAGAAAATCAGACCAATTTGGTCTGATAACGAGAGCCCTGGTGACGGGGCGAATCTGCTGTGTCAGGGTGACGGCGAATCTGCTGTGACGGTCCGAATTTGCTGTGAGGGGTTGATTCTGCTGTGACTGGTCAAGTCCGAATCAATTGCGTCAGACATGAATTTCGGAAATATCTAATACATCTGACACGGTAAAAAACGAAATCTGATGGTTCAGACGTGCCCGAAGGGCCCGTCTGATCCATCAGGCGCCCTCAAATCCTAGCGACGACCCTGACCGTTACTCCTCGCGACACTCGCATCGATCACTGTTCCCGCTACTGTCCACGATGCGACCCAACCACACGGTTCGGTTGGTAGCCTGCGCTCCGGACCTCCGCCTCGACATTTCCCAACCTCGGCGCTAGGCCCATAGCGTACCCAAATTTTTCATGTTACCGTTACCATGTTAGATTCGCTATATAATCTTCGCTCATTCCTTTCGCTCGATGTACTGGTTTGCTTCGATAGTGCAATTCTCGCTGCTCGCGTGCTCTCTCGTAAGCACACTTAGTCACGACTGAGGCTCTCGCTGAGCTAGCCCGACACCCCAGCCATGTCTGCATTCGATTGCGTCCAGCTTGCGACGTTGACGCAGGAGCGTCTTGACAAACTTTTGCGCCAACTCGAGTAGTCGACGCTCGAAATCGCAACACTCACGGCGGAACGCGACTCCTCACGGCAGCAATCTACGGCCAACGCACCAACACTAGCACCAGCAAATGCACCTGCACAGATGCATGAGCCGATTATCATCTCATCAGGACCACCGTCACAGCACGACAGCGAGGGACAGCGCTCACCCTAATCAGCAATGGCGCCGCCCAATCTTTGCAAGGCATGGAAAGAACCAGGACCGCACCGCGCGAAGCTCGTCGTCACGTCAACATCGTCGCACCTGCCAGAAACGACGACATTGGTGAGCCGATGCCACTCAAGCCGCAGCGTCCGCCCTGCTTCAATCCTAGCCGGCGTGGAGGTCTGACGGTTCAATCGTAGATTTTTACGATGAACGTATTTTTTGACGCGAATCACGTCACGTCTGAAGCGGCAAAGATTCCGTTCGTCGTATCATTGCTGCGGGGCCCCGCCATGGACTGGTGGCGAGTCATCGTGACGTCGCCAAGCGCCTACGAGCTGCTGTCGCAAGAGGAAAGGCCAGCAGGCCCAGCCGTCACCTGGAGTTCGTTCTGCAAAACCGCCCAATACAGCACATGGGACGCGTGGTGCGCAGGGCTTCGGGCGAGCTTCGAACCGATTGCGGCTTCGGTTTCGGCACGCCAGAAGTTGCGCACTTGGCAGCAGCTCGGATCGGTTCAACATTACATCAGCGGTTTTCTCGCGCTGTGTGAACAGGTCAGCTACATGCGGATCGCTACGTCAGCAGCCTGAAGCTGAAATCTCGCAAAAAATCCTTCTTCGTGGGATCTCAAACTTCAACGAAATCCTGGCATTAGCGGGAAAAAACGACCTTTTGCGCCGTCCGAGATCGGGGTCCTATTACGGACATTGCCCTCGGGTACACGAAGTTACAACGAATGCAGCTTCTGCACTGTTCAAGGTGCGCTGCTTCGCGTGCAATAGGACGGGCCATTGCAAGAGCGAATGCCCAGAGGAGCTAAGGCGTCGTGGAGCAAAGCAGGGGAGGGAGTCTGGGAGGCAGGGAAACGCCAGTACGAGACTCACTGCTCGCCCGACCTCATCGACCCTCACAGAGTGACAGTACCGATTCACGCAATCGATCGGGCTCGGCTGAATAAGGAGGGTACAGGGACATATTGACAGAAAATACAGGGTGTAGAAGTGAAGATTTTTATTGACGGAGGCGCAGGCCACAACTTAGTTAATACTGCAACTGCACGAAAACTGCAATTGACACTTAACTGCTGCTTACCGGAGATTGACGCATGCTTAGTTGATGGCACACCGCTGGCTATACGGGAGAAGGTGGAGAGAATGAAAGTTTGCTGCGGGGGAAACTTCGGGTTTACACAGGCAATGCTCGCGACGACACTGGATAGGCACAACATTTTACTGCGTCGCACTACCTCGCTGGCAGTCGCCTGAGTCTTCAACGGTCTACGTCAACGCCAACACGATGAAACGGGCTGTCGCCGCTCGAGCCGATATGTACGCACTGGATATCACGGTAGCAGAAGGAACAGAGGAATCGAGCGATTTTTAGAAACTGTTGGCAGCCGTACCGCCTGAGCTAGGGGAGCTACTGAAATGGTACCCGGGATTTTCCCCGACGACTTAGTGGAGGGACTACCATCTCAGCGAGCACACGACCATCGCATAGTGTTAGAACCAGGGGTACAGCCAACCGTACAACGACAGTTCAGACTCACACAGCCCAAACTCGACGAATTGAGGAAGCAGCTAGATTACCTATTGGAGAAAAAAATTCATCCGGTTAAGTTCGTCACCGTTCGCCGCACCGATTCTATTCACACCGAAAAAAGACGGAGGTTTTTGCATATGTATCGACTACTGTGCCCTGAATAAAGTAACAATTAAATCACGATATCCCATTCCCCGCACCGACAAACTGATAGATCAACTATGAACAGCCCGGGTGTTCTAGAAAATTGACTTACGGGGAGGTTACCACCAGATTAGAGTCGAACCATCGGACTATGCCACGACAACCTTTAGAACAAGGTATGGGCCGTATGAGTACACAGTGATGCCCTTCGGGCTAACAAACGCACCGGCAACGTTTTAGATGACCATGAATGAGGCACTTAGACCGCTTATAGATAAATGCGTGATCGTATACCCCAATGACAACCTAGTTTACAGTCGCGACAAGCAGCAGCTTTTAGCGGATCGGAAGCAGTATTCAAGATTTTAAACGAAAACCACTTACTGACCAAGGGTTCCAAGTGCGAGTTCTTTCAGGATAGGCTAGATTTTTTTGGGCACGTTATTTCAAATGCAAGAGTTGAAATCGAACCAAATAAATTAGACGCAGTCAGGGCTTGGCACCCACCGACAAATATCACGGAGCTACAGAGTTTTTTGGGGTTTGTTGTTAACTATGTTCGTCGGTTTGTCCCCGATATGGCACACTAAACTGTCCCACTGGCCGATTTTTGTGCGGAACGGAGTCGTTTTTACGTGGGGGGAGAAAGAGCATGCTGCCTTCTCTGCCCTGAAAACTGTTCTGTGCTCACCACCTGTACTGCGCATCGCCAAACCACACCGGCCATTCAAAGCAGTTACAGATGCATGTGACATCGACATCGGAGCAGTACTGCTACAGGATTTCAGCAACGAATTACAGCCCATTGCATACGAGTCACGAAAACGCATCTGGCTGAGAAGAATTATCCGATACACGATCGCGAAATGCTCGCGATCGTGCATGCGTTCAAAGTGTGTCGTTGTTACTTGACCAGCGCAAACGTGGCAGTACGGGCGGACCACAAATCACTACAATACCTTCGCGCACAGCCCCACCTCAACCCACGACAGGTTCGTTGGCTTGACTTCCTTGAGTCAAACTTCTACTGCACGGTCACCTACAAAAAGGGAGCCTCAAATATCGCCGACGCATTGACCCACCCAACTGCCCAAATGCACGCCCTACTACTCGCACAAACCAACCCACTGCTCACAGGATGATTTACCCACAGATACCAGACAGACCCGTTCTTTCAAGAGGAAATTTGCAGCAGTTCGCAGCAACAAAAGGAATTTATTACGTAAAAGCTGGCAACGATCGCATTTGGGTACCAGGTTACACGCTACTACGGGAACTACTGCTAGAAGAGGCACACACCGGAGTTACCTCGGGGCATTTCGGGGTTGATAAAACACGGCAGCAGCTGCAGCGGTATTACTGCTGGCCCAAAATGTTGACCGACGTACAGCGACACGTGGCATCGTGTCCCACCTGCCAGCTCATGAAGTCGTCACTGAAGCGGCCGGCTGGCTAGTTGCAGCCGATACCACCCCTAGAGCGTGTTTGGCAACAGGTGACAATGGACTTCGCCACAAGGTTACCGGCTGGGGCGAGTGGGACGAACGCGACCCTAGTCGACGTCGATCGACTGACGAAAATGGCGCACTTCGCAGTGTGCAAGAAGTCAATCTCGGCCGAAGAAACCGCCCGACTTTTAATCTCCACCGTCGTCTGACTGCACGGGATACCAGCAGCAATCATCAGCGACCGCGACACGAAATTCACCAGCAAATTCTGGAGGAACCCGTGGCAGCAGTTTAGCATGCGATTGCGATTCAGCTCATCGTACCACCCCGAAACTGACGGCCAGACAGAACGGACCAATTAGACCATGGAACTGTTAATCCGAGCCATGTGTGACGACCCAGCAACTTGGGAGCAGCTGTTGCCACTCATCGAGTTCGTGTACAACATCTCCACGTCAGCCACAACACACCAGTCGCCATGGTTCCGCAGTGGTGGTACTTCTGACGTGGCAATTTCTTGGTGAGGAAGCCAGCTGCCATGTCACCAGTGGGCCAGTAGGTCAAGATGACTTTCCCTTTGTCAACTTCGTCTTTGACGAAGAAGTAGCGGAGTGTGCTTGGTGGGGTTGATGAAGCCAGGTTTGTTCACAATTTTGATCGCACTCTGGTTATTGCAGTGCAGTTTGAAGCTCGTGGACATCGCAATTTTCGCCTCCTGAAGTAGCTCCTGGAGGTAAAGTCCTTCGCGGACAGCTGACGTGGCGGCAATAAACTCTGCTTCGGCGGAGGAGAGCGCCACCATTTCCTGCTTCTGGCATTGCCAGGAAATGGGACCGGTGGGCTCGAGGCGGAAGAGGAAGCCGGTTCGGGACCGTCGATTTGTAGGATCTGTTATAGTCACAGTAGGCTTCAATGTGCCTAAAACGAAAGATAGAGTGCGCAGTCAGATTTCTGCACAGCGGTTTTAAACGATCATAGCGATCTGGTCACAGCTCCAATTGACCTCATTCAACTTGGATCTGGAGCTTCTTGACGTCCTCTACAATATTCATTTTAGATCGCACGATTTCATCAAGAATTGACGACACAGCGTCTGATTGAACGAACGGCACTATGGCAGCAACATAGTCTTAGAAAAACAATTCCGAAAACACTAGGAAGAGTTACGAGTTGGGAAGGACTCCCAGCTCCTACAAACCCCAAGAACCGAGGTACAGTGATGGGGAACAGTGCCACACTGTCCCCAACCAAGAAGGGTCTCGAAACTACCCTCCACAAGGGCCTATACCCATAGAAATGTTACACTACAAATTGTAATGTAACTGTCTTCAATATCTTGAGGTGTACCCTTTTGGCCAGCTTCGAAAAATCACTTGAAGCTTGTAACCAAGGCTCGGGTTCTTCATCACAAACTCAACCTTGAGTTCTTGATGGGTCTGCTGCACACACCTGCGACACGCCGAACGTTCGACACAGGACAAAATAGAAACCGCGCACGGGACACACGACAAAATAGAAACCGCGCGCGAGACACATGACATATATATTTATTTCATGCACTCATACCACTCCATACACACACGCATGCACGCACACGCACACGGACAACAAGCCGAGTGCAAACCGTAGGTTGCACCAACAAACTCCCCCTCGGGTTGTTGGCCTTAGGAACTTGCTCTCTCAGTTCAGAGCCATCCCAGCCAGCTTGCAACACTTCCAATGCTGCTGCTCCACCAGCCTCTTAGTCATCATGTCTGCCGGCTGCCCCGTCGTCTTCACGTAGCGCAGCTCAACTTCACCCGCGGCCACCATGCTCCTCGTCCAATGCCACTTCACCCTCATGTGCTTGGTCAGACCATGTAACACAGGGTTCTTGGCTAGAGCTATGGCTCCTTGGATGTCACAGTAGAGAGGGGTAGGTCCTTGCTGCTCCTCCCCCAATTCAGCCAGCAAACGCCGCTGCCACACAATCTCCCGTACGGCACGGAAGAGTGCCATGTACTCGGATTCCACCGAGCTCAAAGCTTGGTCAACCTGCTTCTTGCTCTCCCAAGCAGTTGGACCTCCACCAACACAGCAAATGAACCCTCCAACACTTGTCATGTCCTCTGGTTCAGAAGCATAGGAGGCATCCGAGAATGCGGTGAGGAACAAACGCCCGGGTTCCACACCATCCGCGCCCTTTTGGCGCCTTTGTGCCGCTGCCGAGTATTGCAGCCCAACAGTCGGTGTTTGGCCAAGGTACTTGGCCACCCTCATTCCAGCTGCTACCTGCTCCTCATTAGGGCATTGCACAACCCTTGCCAGCTGCCCGGTAGCAAACGCGACGTCCGGTCGTGTGTTGACCGCCGCATACATGAGGCTGCCCACCAACGAGTGAAAACGGCGCCTCTCCTCTTCACCCACGCTCTCCTCCTCTGGTCCCTTCACACACTTGAACCCAGAGGGAAAGGGTGTAGCCACATGGCCTTCATTCTGCCCAAAGTTGGCAGCCAATGCCTCCAGGTACTTGCGTTGGTGCACCCGCATGCACCGCTTCTCCACATCACGCTCGATGTGAAGCCCGAGGTAGAAGTTCACGTCCCCAAGGGACTTGCACTTGAATTTGTCTTGCAGCTTCAGCATCACCTCCTTCACAAGGTCAGAGGAGGGTGAGAAGATCAGGATGTCGTCCACGTACACCACCATGAAGCTCCTCTGCTCCCCCTCGCCAAGCATGAACAAGGAGTGATCGGCCGTTGAGGGAGTGAAGCCGATCTCCTCCAACACTTCGCGCAGCTTCAGGTACCATTGCCTAGGGGCCTGCTTCAGCCCATAGAGGGCCTTCTTCAGCTTCCACACTCTGCCGCTGCCGTCATCAAACCCCTCTGGCTGCGCCATGAAAATCTCCTCCTCGAGGATTCCGTTGAGAAACGCCGTGACGATGTCTAGCTGCTTCACCACCCATCCTTTGATCGCGGCTCCCGCGAGCAGGGTTCGCAGCGTCGTCGGCTTCACCATAGGAGCAAACAGCTCCTTGTAGTCCACATTCTCCTTCTGCTGGTACCCCTTGGCCACCAGCCTGGACTTGTAACGCTCGATCTTGCCGTCGGCGTCGGACTTGATCTTGAAGAGCCACTTGGACGTAATTGCCGTACGCCCCTCCGGTAGCTCCACCAACTCGTACGTGTCGTTCTCCTTGATGCTCTTCAGTTCACTCTCCATTGCCTTCTTCCACTCCTCAGCATCACCACTCTCCAAGGCCTCCTTGAGAGTTGCTGGTTCTCCCGGCATCTCCACCGGAGAGAAGAACGCGAAGGCACACTCCTCGTAATCACTCTCCTCGTCGTCTCCAACCATCATTGCCGCTCCAGCTAGGGCCGTCTTGCCCTGCTTCCCCGGCGCATCATAGGTCAGCCTATTAGGGGCTTGAATCTTCCTCTTGACCCTTCCTTCCTCCTCAGCTGCAGGGACTTGAAGGCCTTGGCGTTGCTGCGGTGTAGCTCGGTTCCGTGGAGCACTCGTAGTGCGGGAAGGGAGTGTCGGTGCACGCTCGCTCACTTGCTGCACCTCCTCCTCCTCCTCTTCCTCTGCATCCTTGGCCTCCTCTCCCCCATTCACAAGGGAAGATTGCCTTGTGGTGGTGCTGCCGCTGCTCAGTTCCAATGGCAGCTCCACGTGCTCCAAGCCGGAACTCTTCACCTCCCCAAACCGCACGCCTATCTTCGCCTCATTCTCCGCCTTCCAATCCTTGTACATGAAGTTCTCCATGAACTTGCAGTCCCTGCTCACCATGAACTTCTTGGTGAACGGATCTCAAAGAAGCCACCCCTTGCTGTTTTGAGCCATGCCCAAGTGCACGGCCCACACCGCCTTAGCACCAAGCTTGTTGTGCCGAAGATGCTTGGGTACAAGCGCCATGCACATGCACCCGAACACCCGAAGCATATCCACCTTTGGCTTCCTGCCAAGCCACTCCACATAGGGCACCCATTTGTCTGCTCCCACATGAGTCAAAACTCTGTTCTTGGCCACGCACGCGCTCCGCACCGCATCAGGCCAGAAGTAGTCGGGTAGCCCGGCTTCAATTAGCAACCCGCGTGCCGCCTCCGTTATCGTGCGGTTCGCCCTCTCGGCGATGCCGTTCATTGCAGGGGAGTATGGCATGGTGAGGGAGTGCCGAATGCCATTCTTCTTCAGCCACAACCCAAACTCCTTGCTCAGGAACTCTCCCCCACGATCGGTGCGGATCGACTTCACAAGTCGGTCTTGTTGCCGCTCCACCATCGGGAACCAATCGGTCTTCAAAGTTTCAGCCACGTCACTCTTCTTGGCCAGCACGTACACCCACGTCATGCGAGTGTAGACATCCACAATGGTGAGGAAGTACTCTGCTCCAGCAGCTCCAAGTTTAAGGGGGCCCACCACGTCCATCACCACCTCATCAAGTGGTGCCTTAGCCGTTGCCTCCGAACTAGGGAACGGAAAACGGGTGAACTTGGCTTGCAAGCACGTTGGGCAGCCAAGCACCTCATCGGGCTCCCCCTTCACACGTATGCCAGCAACCATCTCATTCTTCACTAGCTGCTGCAAGATGGGTAGGGCCACATGCCCCATTCGCCGATGCAAGGTGAGCCAATCACACTCCCCCGTAGCCGAAGTCGGGTTGGAGAATGCCGCGCTCGCAATAGCGCCCCACATACTCTCTCCGTACTCCTCCTTCGCTGCTGCCTTGGGGTTCTCCTCACCCTTGTGTTGCTCCTTAGCTGCTGCACCACTCTCCTTGTGGTCACCGAGCTTGCTGGTTTCTCCAGGTTTGCTCTTCATGAGCTCGTTCTCCTTTGCGCGACCGTTCGCGCCATCGCCGCTACCAACCGCTTCACCTTTAGCACTGATGCTTGCTGCCACTTGCCTCTCCTTAGGCATAGGGACCACAGGGATCTGCCACATCTCATTGTAGACGTCCCTGTCTTCATGAAGGTCCCATAGAATCCGGTCGCCAATCCTCGCGGTGTAAGTCTTGGCTCCCTTCGAGTTCGTGTCCATGCCGGCCTTCGCCAACCGCCGCACGGAAATCAGGTTTGCAGCAAGGCTGGGCACCCAAAGCACGTTCTTGAGGCCCACCATCTTCCCATCAGCACCCTTGAACATGGCCTTGCCCATGCCTTTCACCTCTGCTCGCTGCCCCAAAGCCGATGTCACATGCTTCACCGGTGACGGCTCAAGTTCGGTGAGCAAGTCGGGGCGAGGTGTCATGCTATAGGTAGCTCCGCTGTCGATCACCCAAAAGTCCAGGGGGTGTAGGGTCACCTTCCCCACAGCTGCTGGCTCCTCAAGGTCTTCATCCTTCTCTGGACCAGCCGGTACTTGCGTCGACACAAAGTAGAAAAGACCCGGGTATCGATCGCCGCTCGGGTCCTTGTCGTTATCTTCGTTCTTCATGTTCGCGGCTCCACCTCCGCGACCGCCGCGGCCTCCACGGCCTCTGCCTCTCCCTCCTCCTGCTCCTCCACCCTCTTGGCCTTGAGCAGGGGTCCATCCTTCAGGGAGTTTGAAGCAATCGCGCCACATATGTCCGCTCTTGCCGCAATAGTGACACTCGCCATCGAATCGGCCGCGACCGCGCCCGTAGCTCTTGTCGTCGCTGCCGTATCCGCCACTCCCGCGGCCTCCGCCGAAGTTGCTGCCACCAAATCTTCCTCCCCCTCGTCCTCTGCCTCTTCCTCGGCCATATCCACGGCCGACGCTCGCTGCACCAGCGCCATCCGCACTCGCCAACTCACGGCGGCGGAAGTCCTCTTGTAGGATCGCTCGCTTCACGTCTTCAAGCGAGAGGCGGGGCAGATCACGATTTAAATTGATGATGAGCGAGGACCATGACTCGGGGAGTAGGGCCAGCAACTTGGTCTTCTTCTGGAGTTCACTGTAGTTCAAATCAGCTCCCTCAAGCCGCGTCAACAAGTCGAAGAATTTCTGCACCCCTTCTTCCACGGGTTCATCTTCTTCAATCCGTAGTGTCGCCATTTGCCGTTCCAACACCACAGCTACCGCCGCTGTTGCAGGAGCGTGTACACCCTTGAGAGCAGCCCATGCTTTAGGTCCCTTCTCTGGTTCACGCTGAAAAGGCTTGATGTGACGGATCTGGTTGCTCCCCAACGCTTGCCCAAGTAGGAGATAGCCTTGTGCGCTCTTCCGCACCCACGGGCTCTTCTCCGGGTCGTTCTCGGGACGCTTCTCCGTTCCTTCCATCACCTCCAGCAGGTCATAATGGTCGAACACATTCTCCATCCTGAAGGACCACTCAGCAAAGTTGTCACCGTTGAACTTGTCGAGGCCGAACACTCTTGCTTCGTCCTTGGAGGGTCCAAGAGTCGGTTGCACGGACGCCATGGCTGACTCACGGGCTTGGCCTTGTGCTTGGGCTTCTCCATTGCCTCCAGCACCTCTGCCACCCATCTCTTTAGGTCCAGCCATCGTCGTAGCTGCTCCAAGGGGCTCTGATACCACTTGTTATAGTCACAGTAGGCTTCAATGTGCCTAAAACGAAAGATAGAGTGCGCAGTCAGATTTCTGCACAGCGGTTTTAAACGATCATAGCGATCTGGTCACAGCTCCAATTGACCTCATTCAACTTGGATCTGGAGCGTCTTGACGTCCTCTACAATAGGCAATTTAGATCGCACGATTTCATAAAAAATTGACGACACAGCGTCTGATTGAACGAACGGCACTATGGCAGCAACATAGTCTTAGAAAAACAATTACTAAACACTAGGAAGAGTTACGAGTTGGGAAGGACTCCCAGCTCCTACAAACCCCAAGAACCGAGGTACAGTGATGGGGAACAGTGCCACACTGTCCCCAACCAAGAAGGGTCTCGAAACTACCCTCCACAAGGGCCTACACCCATAGAAATGTTACACTACAAATTGTAATGTAACTGTCTTCAATATCTTGAGGTGTACCCTTTTGGCCAGCTTCGAAAAATCACTTGAAGCTTGTAACCAAGGCTCGGGTTCTTCATCACAAACTCAACCTTGAGTTCTTGATGGGTCTGCTGCACACACCTGCGACACGCCGAACGTTCGACACAGGACAAAATAGAAACCGCGCACGGGACACACGACAAAATAGAAACCGCGCGCGAGACACAAATGACCGCATTAACACGCGGCTAGCGATAACTCGCTATTGACTCGACACACACACACTCAATGCATGACCCATCATGCACACACAATATAAGCATGAAATATATATTTATTTCATGCACTCATACCACTCCATACACACACGCATGCACGCACACGCACACGGACAACAAGCCGAGTGCAAACCGTAGGTTGCACCAACATGAGAGTTGCTGGTTCTCCCGGCATCTCCACCGGAGAGAAGAACGCGAAGGCACACTCCTCGTAATCACTCTCCTCGTCGTCTCCAACCATCATTGCCGCTCCAGCTAGGGCCGTCTTGCCCTGCTTCCCCGGCGCATCATAGGTCAGCCTATTAGGGGCTTGAATCTTCCTCTTGACCCTTCCTTCCTCCTCAGCTGCAGGGACTTGAAGGCCTTGGCGTTGCTGCGGTGTAGCTCGGTTCCGTGGAGCACTCGTAGTGCGGGAAGGGAGTGTCGGTGCACGCTCGCTCACTTGCTGCACCTCCTCCTCCTCCTCTTCCTCTGCATCCTTGGCCTCCTCTCCCCCATTCACAAGGGAAGATTGCCTTGTGGTGGTGCTGCCGCTGCTCAGTTCCAATGGCAGCTCCACGTACTCCAAGCCGGAACTCTTCACCTCCCCAAACCGCACGCCTATCTTCGCCTCATTCTCCGCCTTCCAATCCTTGTACATGAAGTTCTCCATGAACTTGCAGTCCCTGCTCACCATGAACTTCTTGGTGAACGGATCCCAAAGAAGCCACCCCTTGCTGTTTTGAGCCATGCCCAAGTGCACGGCCCACACCGCCTTAGCACCAAGCTTGTTGTGCCGAAGATGCTTGGGTACGAGCGCCATGCACATGCACCCGAACACCCGAAGCATATCCACCTTTGGCTTCCTGCCAAGCCACTCCACATAGGGCACCCATTTATCTGCTCCCACATGAGTCAAAACTCTGTTCTTGGCCACGCACGTGCTCCGCACCGCATCAGGCCAGAAGTAGTCGGGTAGCCCGGCTTCAATTAGCAACCCGCGTGCCGCCTCCGTTATCGTGCGGTTCGCCCTCTCGGCGATGCCGTTCATTGCAGGGGAGTATGGCATGGTGAGGGAGTGCCGAATGCCATTCTTCTTCAGCCACAACCCAAACTCCTTGCTCAGGAACTCTCCCCCACGATCGGTGCGGATCGACTTCACAAGTCGGTCTTGTTGCCGCTCCACCATCGGGAACCAATCGGTCTTCAAAGTTTCAGCCACGTCACTCTTCTTGGCCAGCACGTACACCCACGTCATGCGAGTGTAGACATCCACAATGGTGAGGAAGTACTCTGCTCCAGCAGCTCCAAGTTTAAGGGGGCCCACCACGTCCATCACCACCTCATCAAGTGGTGCCTTAGCCGTTGCCTCCGAACTAGGGAACGGAAAACGGGTGAACTTGGCTTGCAAGCACGTTGGGCAGCCAAGCACCTCATCGGGCTCCCCCTTCACACGTATGCCAGCAACCATCTCATTCTTCACTAGCTGCTGCAAGATGGGTAGGGCCACATGCCCCATTCGCCGATGCAAGGTGAGCCAATCACACTCCCCCGTAGCCGAAGTCGGGTTGGAGAATGCCGCGCTCGCAATAGCGCCCCACATACTCTCTCCGTACTCCTCCTTCGCTGCTGCCTTGGGGTTCTCCTCACCCTTGTGTTGCTCCTTAGCTGCTGCACCACTCTCCTTGTGGTCACCGAGCTTGCTGGTTTCTCCAGGTTTGCTCTTCATGAGCTCGTTCTCCTTTGCGCGACCGTTCGCGCCATCGCCGCTACCAACCGCTTCACCTTTAGCACTGATGCTTGCTGCCACTTGCCTCTCCTTAGGCATAGGGACCACAGGGATCTGCCACATCTCATTGTAGACGTCCCTGTCTTCATGAAGGTCCCATAGAATCCGGTCGCCAATCCTCGCGGTGTAAGTCTTGGCTCCCTTCGAGTTCGTGTCCATGCCGGCCTTCGCCAACCGCCGCACGGAAATCAGGTTTGCAGCAAGGCTGGGCACCCAAAGCACGTTCTTGAGGCCCACCATCTTCCCATCAGCACCCTTGAACATGGCCTTGCCCATGCCTTTCACCTCTGCTCGCTGCCCCAAAGCCGATGTCACATGCTTCACCGGTGACGGCTCAAGTTCGGTGAGCAAGTCGGGGCGAGGTGTCATGCTATAGGTAGCTCCGCTGTCGATCACCCAAAAGTCCAGGGGGTGTAGGGTCACCTTCCCCACAGCTGCTGGCTCCTCAAGGTCTTCATCCTTCTCTGGACCAGCCGGTACTTGCGTCGACACAAAGTAGAAAAGACCCGGGTATCGATCGCCGCTCGGGTCCTTGTCGTTATCTTCGTTCTTCATGTTCGCGGCTCCACCTCCGCGACCGCCGCGGCCTCCACGGCCTCTGCCTCTCCCTCCTCCTGCTCCTCCACCCTCTTGGCCTTGAGCAGGGGTCCATCCTTCAGGGAGTTTGAAGCAATCGCGCCACATATGTCCGCTCTTGCCGCAATAGTGACACTCGCCATCGAATCGGCCGCGACCGCGCCCGTAGCTCTTGTCGTCGCTGCCGTATCCGCCACTCCCGCGGCCTCCGCCGAAGTTGCTGCCACCAAATCTTCCTCCCCCTCGTCCTCTGCCTCTTCCTCGGCCATATCCACGGCCGACGCTCGCTGCACCAGCGCCATCCGCACTCGCCAACTCACGGCGGCGGAAGTCCTCTTGTAGGATCGCTCGCTTCACGTCTTCAAGCGAGAGGCGGGGCAGATCACGATTTAAATTGATGATGAGCGAGGACCATGACTCGGGGAGTAGGGCCAGCAACTTGGTCTTCTTCTGGAGTTCACTGTAGTTCAAATCAGCTCCCTCAAGCCGCGTCAACAAGTCGAAGAATTTCTGCACCCCTTCTTCCACGGGTTCATCTTCTTCAATCCGTAGTGTCGCCATTTGCCGTTCCAACACCACAGCTACCGCCGCTGTTGCAGGAGCGTGTACACCCTTGAGAGCAGCCCATGCTTTAGGTCCCTTCTCTGGTTCACGCTGAAAAGGCTTGATGTGACGGATCTGGTTGCTCCCCAACGCTTGCCCAAGTAGGAGATAGCCTTGTGCGCTCTTCCGCACCCACGGGCTCTTCTCCGGGTCGTTCTCGGGACGCTTCTCCGTTCCTTCCATCACCTCCAGCAGGTCATAATGGTCGAACACATTCTCCATCCTGAAGGACCACTCAGCAAAGTTGTCACCGTTGAACTTGTCGAGGCCGAACACTCTTGCTTCGTCCTTGGAGGGTCCAAGAGTCGGTTGCACGGACGCCATGGCTGACTCACGGGCTTGGCCTTGTGCTTGGGCTTCTCCATTGCCTCCAGCACCTCTGCCACCCCTCTCTTCAGGTCCAGCCATCGTCGTAGCTGCTCCAAGGGGCTCTGATACCACTTGTTATAGTCACAGTAGGCTTCAATGTGCCTAAAACGAAAGATAGAGTGCGCAGTCAGATTTCTGCACAGCGGTTTTAAACGATCATAGCGATCTGGTCACAGCTCCAATTGACCTCATTCAACTTGGATCTGGAGCGTCTTGACGTCCTCTACAATAGGCAATTTAGATCGCACGATTTCATAAAAAAATTGACGACACAGCGTCTGATTGAACGAACGGCACTATGGCAGCAACATAGTCTTAGAAAAACAATTACTAAACACTAGGAAGAGTTACGAGTTGGGAAGGACTCCCAGCTCCTACAAACCCCAAGAACCGAGGTACAGTGATGGGGAACAGTGCCACACTGTCCCCAACCAAGAAGGGTCTCGAAACTACCCTCCACAAGGGCCTACACTCATAGAAATGTTACACTACAAATTGTAATGTAACAATCTTCAATATCTTGAGGTGTACCCTTTTGGCCAGCTTCGAAAAATCACTTGAAGCTTGTAACCAAGGCTCGGGTTCTTCATCACAAACTCAACCTTGAGTTCTTGATGGGTCTGCTGCACACACCTGCGACACGCCGAACGTTCGACACAGGACAAAATAGAAACCGCGCACGGGACACACGACAAAATAGAAACCGCGCGCGAGACACAAATGACCGCATTAACACGCGGCTAGCGATAACTCGCTATTGACTCGACACACACACACTCAATGCATGACCCATCATGCACACACAATATAAGCATGAAATATATATTTATTTCATGCACTCATACCACTCCATACACACACGCATGCACGCACACGCACACGGACAACAAGCCGAGTGCAAACCGTAGGTTGCACCAACATGAGAGTTGCTGGTTCTCCCGGCATCTCCACCGGAGAGAAGAACGCGAAGGCACACTCCTCGTAATCACTCTCCTCGTCGTCTCCAACCATCATTGCCGCTCCAGCTAGGGCCGTCTTGCCCTGCTTCCCCGGCGCATCATAGGTCAGCCTATTAGGGGCTTGAATCTTCCTCTTGACCCTTCCTTCCTCCTCAGCTGCAGGGACTTGAAGGCCTTGGCGTTGCTGCGGTGTAGCTCGGTTCCGTGGAGCACTCGTAGTGCGGGAAGGGAGTGTCGGTGCACGCTCGCTCACTTGCTGCACCTCCTCCTCCTCCTCTTCCTCTGCATCCTTGGCCTCCTCTCCCCCATTCACAAGGGAAGATTGCCTTGTGGTGGTGCTGCCGCTGCTCAGTTCCAATGGCAGCTCCACGTACTCCAAGCCGGAACTCTTCACCTCCCCAAACCGCACGCCTATCTTCGCCTCATTCTCCGCCTTCCAATCCTTGTACATGAAGTTCTCCATGAACTTGCAGTCCCTGCTCACCATGAACTTCTTGGTGAACGGATCCCAAAGAAGCCACCCCTTGCTGTTTTGAGCCATGCCCAAGTGCACGGCCCACACCGCCTTAGCACCAAGCTTGTTGTGCCGAAGATGCTTGGGTACGAGCGCCATGCACATGCACCCGAACACCCGAAGCATATCCACCTTTGGCTTCCTGCCAAGCCACTCCACATAGGGCACCCATTTATCTGCTCCCACATGAGTCAAAACTCTGTTCTTGGCCACGCACGTGCTCCGCACCGCATCAGGCCAGAAGTAGTCGGGTAGCCCGGCTTCAATTAGCAACCCGCGTGCCGCCTCCGTTATCGTGCGGTTCGCCCTCTCGGCGATGCCGTTCATTGCAGGGGAGTATGGCATGGTGAGGGAGTGCCGAATGCCATTCTTCTTCAGCCACAACCCAAACTCCTTGCTCAGGAACTCTCCCCCACGATCGGTGCGGATCGACTTCACAAGTCGGTCTTGTTGCCGCTCCACCATCGGGAACCAATCGGTCTTCAAAGTTTCAGCCACGTCACTCTTCTTGGCCAGCACGTACACCCACGTCATGCGAGTGTAGACATCCACAATGGTGAGGAAGTACTCTGCTCCAGCAGCTCCAAGTTTAAGGGGGCCCACCACGTCCATCACCACCTCATCAAGTGGTGCCTTAGCCGTTGCCTCCGAACTAGGGAACGGAAAACGGGTGAACTTGGCTTGCAAGCACGTTGGGCAGCCAAGCACCTCATCGGGCTCCCCCTTCACACGTATGCCAGCAACCATCTCATTCTTCACTAGCTGCTGCAAGATGGGTAGGGCCACATGCCCCATTCGCCGATGCAAGGTGAGCCAATCACACTCCCCCGTAGCCGAAGTCGGGTTGGAGAATGCCGCGCTCGCAATAGCGCCCCACATACTCTCTCCGTACTCCTCCTTCGCTGCTGCCTTGGGGTTCTCCTCACCCTTGTGTTGCTCCTTAGCTGCTGCACCACTCTCCTTGTGGTCACCGAGCTTGCTGGTTTCTCCAGGTTTGCTCTTCATGAGCTCGTTCTCCTTTGCGCGACCGTTCGCGCCATCGCCGCTACCAACCGCTTCACCTTTAGCACTGATGCTTGCTGCCACTTGCCTCTCCTTAGGCATAGGGACCACAGGGATCTGCCACATCTCATTGTAGACGTCCCTGTCTTCATGAAGGTCCCATAGAATCCGGTCGCCAATCCTCGCGGTGTAAGTCTTGGCTCCCTTCGAGTTCGTGTCCATGCCGGCCTTCGCCAACCGCCGCACGGAAATCAGGTTTGCAGCAAGGCTGGGCACCCAAAGCACGTTCTTGAGGCCCACCATCTTCCCATCAGCACCCTTGAACATGGCCTTGCCCATGCCTTTCACCTCTGCTCGCTGCCCCAAAGCCGATGTCACATGCTTCACCGGTGACGGCTCAAGTTCGGTGAGCAAGTCGGGGCGAGGTGTCATGCTATAGGTAGCTCCGCTGTCGATCACCCAAAAGTCCAGGGGGTGTAGGGTCACCTTCCCCACAGCTGCTGGCTCCTCAAGGTCTTCATCCTTCTCTGGACCAGCCGGTACTTGCGTCGACACAAAGTAGAAAAGACCCGGGTATCGATCGCCGCTCGGGTCCTTGTCGTTATCTTCGTTCTTCATGTTCGCGGCTCCACCTCCGCGACCGCCGCGGCCTCCACGGCCTCTGCCTCTCCCTCCTCCTGCTCCTCCACCCTCTTGGCCTTGAGCAGGGGTCCATCCTTCAGGGAGTTTGAAGCAATCGCGCCACATATGTCCGCTCTTGCCGCAATAGTGACACTCGCCATCGAATCGGCCGCGACCGCGCCCGTAGCTCTTGTCGTCGCTGCCGTATCCGCCACTCCCGCGGCCTCCGCCGAAGTTGCTGCCACCAAATCTTCCTCCCCCTCGTCCTCTGCCTCTTCCTCGGCCATATCCACGGCCGACGCTCGCTGCACCAGCGCCATCCGCACTCGCCAACTCACGGCGGCGGAAGTCCTCTTGTAGGATCGCTCGCTTCACGTCTTCAAGCGAGAGGCGGGGCAGATCACGATTTAAATTGATGATGAGCGAGGACCATGACTCGGGGAGTAGGGCCAGCAACTTGGTCTTCTTCTGGAGTTCACTGTAGTTCAAATCAGCTCCCTCAAGCCGCGTCAACAAGTCGAAGAATTTCTGCACCCCTTCTTCCACGGGTTCATCTTCTTCAATCCGTAGTGTCGCCATTTGCCGTTCCAACACCACAGCTACCGCCGCTGTTGCAGGAGCGTGTACACCCTTGAGAGCAGCCCATGCTTTAGGTCCCTTCTCTGGTTCACGCTGAAAAGGCTTGATGTGACGGATCTGGTTGCTCCCCAACGCTTGCCCAAGTAGGAGATAGCCTTGTGCGCTCTTCCGCACCCACGGGCTCTTCTCCGGGTCGTTCTCGGGACGCTTCTCCGTTCCTTCCATCACCTCCAGCAGGTCATAATGGTCGAACACATTCTCCATCCTGAAGGACCACTCAGCAAAGTTGTCACCGTTGAACTTGTCGAGGCCGAACACTCTTGGTTCGTCCTTGGAGGGTCCAAGAGTCGGTTGCACGGACGCCATGGCTGACTCACGGGCTTGGCCTTGTGCTTGGGCTTCTCCATTGCCTCCAGCACCTCTGCCACCCATCTCTTTAGGTCCAGCCATCGTCGTAGCTGCTCCAAGGGGCTCTGATACCACTTGTTATAGTCACAGTAGGCTTCAATGTGCCTAAAACGAAAGATAGAGTGCGCAGTCAGATTTCTGCACAGCGGTTTTAAACGATCATAGCGATCTGGTCACAGCTCCAATTGACCTCATTCAACTTGGATCTGGAGCGTCTTGACGTCCTCTACAATAGGCAATTTAGATCGCACGATTTCATAAAAAATTGACGACACAGCGTCTGATTGAACGAACGGCACTATGGCAGCAACATAGTCTTAGAAAAACAATTACTAAACACTAGGAAGAGTTACGAGTTGGGAAGGACTCCCAGCTCCTACAAACCCCAAGAACCGAGGTACAGTGATGGGGAACAGTGCCACACTGTCCCCAACCAAGAAGGGTCTCGAAACTACCCTCCACAAGGGCCTACACTCATAGAAATGTTACACTACAAATTGTAATGTAACAATCTTCAATATCTTGAGGTGTACCCTTTTGGCCAGCTTCGAAAAATCACTTGAAGCTTGTAACCAAGGCTCGGGTTCTTCATCACAAACTCAACCTTGAGTTCTTGATGGGTCTGCTGCACATACCTGCGACACGCCGAACGTTCGACACAGGACAAAATAGAAACCGCGCACGGGACACACGACAAAATAGAAACCGCGCGCGAGACACAAATGACCGCATTAACACGCGGCTAGCGATAACTCGCTATTGACTCGACACACACACACTCAATGCATGACCCATCATGCACACACAATATAAGCATGAAATATATATTTATTTCATGCACTCATACCACTCCATACACACACGCATGCACGCACACGCACACGGACAACAAGCCGAGTGCAAACCGTAGGTTGCACCAACAGGATCGGCGGCGTGATCTGTGTCCACGTATCCAACGAAACTGAATGAGCGAGTGATGAGAGTGGAGTAGGTGAGGCCAATGTGTGGTGTGGAGATGAAGTATTGGAGTGCGCGCTGTAAGTCCAGCATGTGCTCCCCTTCAGGCCGCTTGGCATACTGAGCGAGCTGGCTGGCGATGTAGGACAAGTCAGGCCTGCATGTCACAGCGGCGAAGAGAAGACATCCGAGTTGCTGCTGGAACAGCCGATGGTCGGAGGGGTTGAGTGGTTTCGCAAGGGCGGTGGAAGGGGTGGCCGGTGTGCGATAAGGAGGGGAGAGGTTGGCTAGTTTGATGTTGAATTTGGTGGAGAGATTTTCGGCGTAGTTGGCAGCGGAGAGGTGGATGGCATCAACTGCATAGGAGATGTTGAGCCCCAGGAATTGAGTGACGGAGCTGTTGCTGGTGATTTCGACGCGGTTGCTGAGGTTTTTCTCGAACTGCGCAAGGAGGTCGTTGCTGGTGCCGGTGTAGAGCAGGTCATCCACATAGGCTGTGAGGAGGATGTAGTCACCTTGGTAATGCAGACGGTACATGCCGGGGTCGTGAGGCAGCTGAGTGAATCCGATGTCTAGTAGGATTTGGTGAAGATGTTGCTGCCAGAGACGTGGGGCTTGTTTGATGCCGTAGAGTGATTTTTGGAGTTGACACACGCGATCGTCGCCGTCGCCGTAGGTGTGGGGCTGTTCGACGAAGATGAGCGCATCCACTGGTGCGTAGAGGAAGGCATTCTTGACGTCGATTTGGTGGAGCGGAAGATGTTTTGCTGCTGCGATGGCGAGGAGGATACGAACAGAGGTGTGGCGAATGACAGCAGCAAAGGTTTGGTCGAAGTCGACGCCGTGGCGCTGATCGAAGCCGCGGACAACCCAGCGTGCTTTGAAGCATTCGATGGTGCCGTCGGCGGCGGTTTTGACGCGGAAAAACCCATTTTCCCGTGAGAATGCTCCTCCCCTTTAAGGTGGCGAGGACCCAGGTGTTACGAGCTTCGAGCGCGGTGACCTCGACATCCATCGCTGCGCGCCACTCCTTAGCGTAAGGCCCCGTGAGGGCTTGGCACGGGGTTTGTGGTTCAACCGCCTTGGGTGGGTGGGAAACGGTAGTGTGGAGGCCGAGGATGTGGAGGCCGGAAATGCCGGGGCTGTGACGTTGGTCGCTGGTGATTTCCACCCTGTCATTGTCTGAGTCGTGGCCGCTGGATGGTGTTGGACTGAGGAGGGAGTGTCAAACATTGTATGTTTATATTGTGTAGGCTATAGTGGGTTTAGCCTTAGAGGGTACACAAACTTAGGGTTTCATACTTGTACCCACCTTCCTGCTAGTTCATTCATTCTCGTTCTCTTCCAGATTCTAACATGGTATCACGAGCCTAGGTTGCTACCTAGGACCGCTTTCTACAATGGGCCCACTATTCCGCTAGAAGCGCCCTCGTGCGCCCTACCTTACGTGCGCCCTCGTGCGCCCTACCTTACGTGCGCCCTCGTGCGCTCTACCTTACGTGCGCCCTCGTGCGCCCTCGTGCGCCCTCGTGCGCTCTCCGCGGCGTCGTCGCCTACCCGCGTCGTAGCCCCTGTCCGCGGCGTCGTCGCCTGCCCGCGGCGTCGTCGCCTACCCGCGGCGTCGTCGCCTGCCCGCGGCGTCGTCGCCTGCCCACGGCGTCGTCGCCCTGCTCGTGGCGTCGTCGCCTGCCCGCGGCGTCGTCGCCTGCCCGCGGCGTCGTCGCCTGCCCGCGGCGTCGTCCCCTGCCCGCGGCGTCGGCGCCTGCCCGCGGCGTCGTCGCCTGCCCGCGGCGTCGTCGCCTACCCGCGGCGTCGCCACCTGCTAGCGGCGTCGCCCTACTCGCGGCGTCGCCACCTGCCCGCCGCGTCGCCCTGCCCGCGGCGTCGCCACCTGCCCGCCGCGTCGCCCTGCCCGCGGCGTCGCCACCTGCCCGCCGCGTCGCCCTGCCCGCGGCGTCGCCCTTCTCGCCGCGTCGCCCTGACCTAATCCGCCTCTCGCCCCTGGAGCAGCCGCCACTGCTGTCGCAGCCCCTGGAGCCGCCCGCCACTGCAGCAGCAGCCCCTGGAGCCGCTCGCCACTGCAGCAGCCGCCCCTGGAGCCGCCCGCCACTGCAGCAGCCCCCTCTGGAGCAGCACGCACCTGCAGCAGCCGCCCCTGGAGCAGCCCGCACCTGCAGCAGCCGCCCCTGGCCCCTGGAGCAGCCGCCACTGCAGCAGCCGCCCCTGGCACCTGGAGCAGCTGCCGTCGCGGCCCGGCCTCGCCCTGCAGCAGCTGCCGCGGAGCTCCCTGCTGCGGCCCGGCCCAGCCCTGCAGTTGTAGCGGCCCCGCTGTCGCCACCGTCTTGCGCCTGCCGCGCCGACCACTGGTGAGCATTGCCCAGCACTGCTACCGCTGCTACTGCTGCTACTGCCTTTTCTACTCCCACTGCCACTGCTCCTACTGCCACTGCTGACACTGCGGCACTCGCCCACGTGAAGTCGGAGCTGCAGAAGAGACACACGTGCACAGACCTGGGTGAACTGACAAGCTATCTTGGCTTGCGGATCACCCGGGACAGAGCACGGCGCACCATCACCTTGACTCAGTCACACATGGTGCAGCAGGTCCTTCAGCGCTTCCGCTTCACGTACTCCTCGCCTCAGTCCACTCCTCTGCCTACCGGTCACTCGCTCTCAGCTCAGCCTTCGGATGAGTCCGTAGAGCCGAGTGGCCCGTATCCAGAGCTTGTGGGCTGCCTCATGTACCTGATGACCTGCACTCGACCTGACCTTGCATACCCTCTTAGCATCCTTGCACGCTATGTCGCTCCTGGCCGTCACCGGAAGGAGCACATGGATGCCGCTAAGAGGGTGTTGCGCTACTTGTGCAGTACGTCAGGCATGGGGCTAGTGCTTGGAGGGCGAGACCGAGTTGTACTTACTGGTCACTCAGACGCTTCTTGGGCGGACGACCAGGCTACTCAGCGGTCGTCTCAGGGTTACACCTTCAGTCTTGGCTCTGGCTCAGTTTCTTGGCGTTCTACACGCTCTTCTTCTGTTCTCAGCTCCAGTTGTGAGGCTGAGATCTACGCCACAGCCATGGCGGCCCAGGAGCTACGCTGGCTGACCTACCTGCTGACCGACTTGGGAGAGCGGCCTCGTTCTCCTCCAGTGCTGTACGTCGACAACAAGGCTGCCATTGCCTTGTGTGAGGAGCACAGACTGGAGCACAGAACGAAGCACATCGCCCTGCGGTACTTCCTTGCTCGAGAGCTGCAGCAGCGCGGTCAGCTTCGTCTGCGTTACGTGGCCACTGAGGCCAACACTGCTGATGTGTTCACCAAGGCACTTCAGCCTTGTGACCATCAGCGCTTCTGTACTCTTCTAGGCCTTGTGCCTGCTGGACCTCACTTGCTTACTTCTTGACTCTGTTTGTACTGTGATCTCTATATATATACCTGCATGTTTACACTTGCTAGGTTGTGATCACTGTATCTCTTGCTATATTATCAAACTGCATGAGGACTGGTCTTGTGACCACTTGCTTGTGCTCAGAATTTGTGTGGTATCCTTGAGGTCCACCCTGAGCTTGCTTTGCTTTCCTTTGCTTTGACTGGTCTTGTGACCCTCTGGTTGTCTCCCACTTCGCCTATGGGGGTGTGTCAAACATTGCATGTTTATATTGTGTAGGCTATAGTGGGTTTAGCCTTAGAGGGTACACAAAATTAGGGTTTCATACTTGTACCCACCTTCCTGCTAGTTCATTCATTCTCGTTTTCTTCCAGATTCTAACAGGGAGTCCCGCGAGGAGTCAAGGTGAGCGCTGTCCTCATCTTCGTCCTCATCACTCCATGGGCGAGGGCCGGGGTGTGGGTCTGTGGGGTCCTGGTCCGCAAGCGCTGCTTGCACTTCGTCTTCAGGAGTGAAGAAGCTGCGCGGGGGACGATCGTAATTCGTGACGTTTGTCTCTCAACTGGTGCGGTCGGCGTGTCGGTCACACTGGAACTTGTGGATCGTGAGGTCTTCGTAGAAGATGACGTCGAGAGCCGTGACCACGTGGGAGGTATCGTGGTCGAGGATGTTCCAGG